GTCGTGCTCCTTGGCCCTATGCTCCCCGAGCCACACCTGCGCGGTCAATCCGCCTGCGTCGTGCTCCTCGGCCCTATGCGCCTCGAGACACACCTGCGCGATCAGCCTGCCTGCGTCGTGCTCCTCGGCCCTATGCTCCCCGAGACACACCTACGCGGTCAGCCCGTGGCCCTATGCACCCCGAGACACACCTACGCGGTCAGCCCGCCTACGTCGTGCTCCTCGGCCCTATGCTCCCCGAGACACACCTGCGCGGTCAGCCCGCTTGCGTCGTGTTCCTCGGCCGCATGTTGCCCGAGACCACACCTACACGGCCTGCCCGCCTGCGTCGCGCTCCGCAGCCCCACGTTGCCCGGGACCCGTTCGGCCTCATGTTGCTTGGGACTACCGTGATATTAGAGGCTGAAGCCATGCCTCAGACTCCCCCTCTCTCTTCTCGACGACCGACGCATAGCTTCTTTCGGGGGGGGGGAATGTGATAAGGGTAATAATGACGACATGACATGCCACGATGTCAGCCATACCTGTATGATGCTCTGCCCCAAAAGAGGGCAATAATGCGACACGATGGGTGCTAACGTCACCCGCTCTCAGACGAAGACTTCATCGTTGTTTGACCCAACGCGCTCGACCGAGGCAGAGGAGAACGACCACCGAGGCATGCCCATACCCTACGGCAGTTCGGTTCTCCACGCAACGTCAATGGCAATGTCAGACGCCATCAGAGGTACGATCCTGCCTCCTGGAGGTAGGCACGTCAGGTAACAATCAACTGCGCTATAAATACCCCCGAGTTCTAAACGAGGGGGGGAGACACTTCTTCACTAAAAAACTTCTTCTACATCATCTAACTTGATCGTCGAAGGGGTCAGGCTGAGCTTCCGACTCGACCTGTGTGCAGGTACAAGGGCGAGGTTGCGTCTCCCCTGCGACGCGGAAAAGCCTCACTCCCCACGCAACGTCCCGCTTGGACCATCGTAACCGGCCACCCCAGCTGCCCCGAGGAACGCCGCGCAAGATCCCCGCGCATTCGGACCCAAACCAAGCCGCGTCGGCCCTGAGGCCACGGCATAAAGTTGCTTACACTAACACATATTAGTCTCAGTTCAATCGCAGTTGAGATATGATTCATCTGAAGGTGTCAAACATGTAAAATTATGTCAGGATCATTTTCGATAAGTGTCCATTAGATGTTTAAATTAGTTGAATCGAAAGGAATTCTTAAAGAATGTGTCATTTTTTATAGTGACTCATAGGACTATTACTCATGCAATAGATGAACGATAATTAAAAAAAAATTATATATTATTTTTGGACTTAATTGTGATCAAAATATCGCGATGCATCGAATCCATAATAGTTTCGACTTAATGATCGAGATTTGGTCCACATTACATGTTGTATCACCATGTGTTGATTACAAGACAACTGAATTATGTATGTATATAAACCACGTAAGATGGCCACTTGGATCCAAGGTGTCGGCCACGTATCGATCGGGACACCAAAGTGTCAGCAAGATCATCCCCATATCACCTTGCATACCGACAAGAGAGTCTCTTGGATTCCCTTCTGTCATCAGTCAGTGAGTCAGTGCTAAAACCTTTCACGTCGATGCATATCCGTTTCCATGATCACCGAAGGAAACAGCTGCTACAGTCTGAAAAGAAAGAAGTAAAAGAAACAAAATCACAACCATTTGCTCAGATGAATACATCCTCCTCCAGAAACTTTCAAAGTCCCGGTCATCCCGACACAAAAAAACGTCGCCCTCGGCATGGGTAGATGAACACCACCCTGATCGCTCTGTTTGTACAACTTTATGCTGTTGACGTGTCGTCGACATGGCTTAGTCTGATCCAAATACGCGAAATCGTCTACATGACTCTATGACCGGAGAGGGCTGGCATCAAGTTGGGTCAAGGCGATATCTGTCGAGTCGATATGAGGTTGAGAAGGGAAATCCCAATTCAATCCCTCCGAAGCTTAAGTTAGTCCGATGAAATTGTGATGAATTCGAGTGTGCTTTCGTGCCCCTTTAGCATTGATTAAGGGATCGATTTTTATATTTTTTATCAAGGGTCAATTATATGAGATTCATTAATGACCGTCAATCCCTAGGGTGGTCGATCCATGCGTTCCGCGCAACATGAACCGTACAATCCCAAGTGCCACGATGGCACAAATGTGCCATGTCAGTCTTGAGGTGGCTACTAGTCGTTGCCACGTAAGTGGTACTAAAATATGCCCTATCAGCCTCCGTGTTTCAACCATCCGCGATAGCTCTCCATCAGGAGATGAGAGGTGGACGGAGGAGTTCACGATTGAGACTGTTTTGGACGGTTGTGTCTGTGGCTTTTGTGCAGCAAACGATGAAAGGGACCGACACTTTGATGGTCCCTTCGAATGAACGCCAACAGGTAACAATAGACGCATTGGCAGGCATGGTGAATTTGTCCGAATTTGGTGATGATATCCAGATCGACATCTGATCGATATTTCAGTAACATGAGAATAGTCGTCAACTCACAATACATGTCGATATTTTGATTTTTAATATTTGAGTATCGACTATCAATATGTAGAATATAATTACTAGATTTAGAGCAACTTATGTAATAAATCGTAAATTCATAATTATACTTTTGATTCTTCCTATGGCCCTTTGTTGCACTATAAAAATTTTCAAGTATGCAACTGTAAAACATATCACTCAGATCACTTTTTCATTATTTCCAACTACTTTGATTTTATTACACTTACGAAGACATGACATTCTTAGAAAAAAAAGATTACGGTTCCGAATCATTCTCCGAGTTAAACAATCATAATATATTATAATAGTTCTTTTTATGCTTAAGTTTGAATCAACTTGAGGCTTATAAATACTTCTATCATCCTTAGTTAACATACACACAACTGAGAGCAAAAAGAAAAGAAAACACTATTGTAATCTTGTGTGGATTCATCTCAAATTCTAAGTATTAGTATTGTTTAAGAGAGAAGTGAAGGGGATTATAAAGGTTCTCTCATGAATCTATCAAAAGGAGAATCGAGTTGTAAGGGTAGTTGATATTCGCTCATTGAAGGAAAATCATTAGTGGATGCCGGTGGTCTCGACGGAAGAAGAATCGACGATAAAATGGATATAGGTCACGACGATCGAACCACTATAAAATCTAGTTTACATTTATGCTTTGCTATTTACATTTGTTGCAAACTACTATACTTCCTAATTACTTTAGCTGCATATTCTTACGAATGTGTTTCAAGTTTACATCATTTACGAAATTGATTTTTAACGTACGAAGATTTTTTGAACCAATATAATTTTATCTACTACACTAATTCACCCACATCGACTCATTCCTAACAAATATGTAAGAGGGAATTACTCTTACATTTATTCATTTGAGATATAGACAAATATGTAAGATATATACATGCAAATATAAACAAAATTGATATCCTAGGTAATGGCTTATGATTCCACACACAACCTCTCGTGTGAACGTGATTACTTAATATTCTAATGTGCTCGAAATAAGCATAATAAAATAAGGTTTTGGATGACAGTTTCATAAATAACGTATCAATATGAGTCTCATATGAAACGATATTAAGGCCTAAAGCATGTTTTATTGGGCATGCCCTCACTATGTATGGCGTGAGAGCAATCGTCCAGCCAATCGGCTTGCCAATTTTACAAGGAGTTAAGAGTTTTGATTGTGATTAGCAAGAGGTTTAACCTCTTGATCTAGATTTGTTGGTTCACGATGATGAGAACGGGAAAGGTTGCATCCGACCTTTTTATTTATAATTTTTCTTTCTTTAGACCCAAAAAAAAATGTATACCATTTTGCTCATCATCCATTAATTTGTGAGTATTTGATAAGAATTAACCTCGAATGGTTTTTTTCATTTTTGCATCAGAAATCACCGATCATGACGGAGCTCAAATGGGCTCGTCAGAGATCCGTGTTCTTCGAGATAAGAAATACATCTCTCTGTGCTTTATTTTGTTTTATGAAAGAACAGAAGTGAGGAGATCTCGAGAGCACATCATTGCAAGTTCTATTCATCAATAGGTATCAAAGAGTTTGATCCGATTTCATCGTCATTGATAATGAAATGACAAGTACGACTCAAATACTTAATCCTTTTATCCAAATTCTTAAATCCGATGGTTGACATTATTGACTTTCCGAAAATTTGGGTATATTAAGTGTTGTATTGTATTGCCATTCATAACCAGCACAAATGGGCATGCAATTATGTGCCCAAACTCGGTATGTCGCTCATGCTCGCGACTCACTCAATAAATCCTGATAGAAATTTACCCGTAAATCCCTTCATGCGGACTAATTTTCCCGTCTACAGCAACATTTGAGCTTGCAAGGACGGGACGACATCATTTCGAGCACATCAGGAAAGCATGCAATGGAAGAGAGAGAGAGAGAGAGGGGGGTGTACGTGAACCAAGTACGGAATGTGTGACGGCGTTTCTGCCTCGCGGCTGCCGTCTCGGGCGGATCGAATGCGAGTGTTTCCTTCTTTCTCTTTGCTGCCATTAATTGAATACCATCCGTTCTCCGAATTATGTGCCCTCGTTTTCTCTCTGTAGCCATGGAAACAAAAACAAAAACAAATCTACCAATTGATTTTCCTTTTTTTATTTCTCCAACAAGTTCCTGTTCTTGCGTGTGTGCGATCTACGTTGTTCTTTCCTTCTTTGGTTTCCTCTCGGCTTACTCTATTTCAGGTGTTGTTCTCGTTGTGTTCGGTTGCCTTTCGACTTGGGATTCTCGAGAGCCCTCCACGCTTTCTTGATGACCACCTTTCTTTATCCTTCCCCTTACGATATATAGCTAATCCATGGCGATCACTCTTCTCCCTGATAGATCGCTGATTTACCAGCTTTAGAACGCACCTTCTTCCCTCTACTTTGTACGGTCGCGTTTGCATCCTGTAGCTGAGATGTCATGGAGCTGAGAGCCAAGGCGGCTCCTCTTGTTCCCCTTTCCATGGAGAGAAGATGGATGTGGCCCTTGTTGCTGTGCTCGATCGTCGTCATCGTCCTCGCGGTCACCTCCTCCAACATGAGCATCATCTCCTCCTTCCAGACCATGTTCTGGATCTTCCCTACCGTGCCGTCCGCGAACAGGACCGGCCCCGCCTTCGTCGAGTCGCAGTTAGCGTCCGCCGCTCCCCCGCCTGTAGGTTCCCGGATTCCCCGGCTGGCCTATTTGATCTCCGGATCCAAGGGCGACTTGGACCGGCTGTGGCGCACGCTGCGGGCGCTGTATCATCCTCGCAATATCTACGTCGTCCACCTGGACTTGGAGTCTCCGGCGAGCGAGAGGCTGGAGCTGGCTTTGCGCGTCGCCAACGATACCGTGTTATCCACCGTCGGCAACGTGCACGTCGTCGAGAAGGCTAACATGGTTACTTACCGAGGACCGACGATGGTGGCCAGCACACTTCATGCCTGTGCTATACTTCTCAAGGAGAGCAAGGAGTGGGACTGGTTCATCAATCTCAGTGCCTCGGATTACCCTCTCGTCACACAAGATGGTGAGCCAGCCCGCTCATTCTCTTTCGTGATCTCTCTCTCATCTCTGTTCTTCACCGTTTCTTGATTCTGACTGCAGACATACTGCATGTTTTCTCGTCGCTGCCGAGGAACATAAGCTTTGTCGAGCACACGAGCAGATTGGGCTGGAAAGAGTTAGTAGCAGCATCCCCGAATCTTTTGGGTCAAATCATTTCTCTGTCTTCTCCTAATTCTGAAGATTGCGTTTACAGGGGCCAGAGAGCAAAACCTTTGATGGTAGATCCTGGGCTGTACATGACTCGCAAGACCGATGTGTTTTGGGTGAGTCAGAAAAGAGAGGTACCGACTGCATTCAAGCTGTTCACAGGTTACGCCTCTCGCCACAGCGTTGAATCTACGATCGGGCGATCGATGTACGAGTTCATCTTTTTTGTTCTTTCGACAGGCTCTGCATGGGTGGCTCTGACTCGAGAATTCGCGGAGTTCTGCGTGTGGGGATGGGACAACCTGCCAAGAATTCTCCTCATGTACTACACCAACTTCGTCTCCTCTCCCGAAGGCTACTTCCAGACGGTGATCTGCAACGCACCCGAGTTCTCGGTCACCGTCGCCAACCACGACCTGCACTACATCTCGTGGGACGTGCCCCCGAAGCAGCACCCTCACACCCTCTCCATGGACGACTTGCCCAAAATGATCGGCAGCAACGCCCCCTTCGCCCGCAAGTTCAAACGGGACGACCCGGTGCTGGACCAGATCGACGCGGAGCTTCTCGGCAGGGCAAAAGGAAGCTTCGTCCCTGGAGGATGGTGTGCAGGCGCACCCCTGTGCACGGAGATCGGAGATCCCACGCGACTCCAGCCCGGGCCCGGGGCCGAGCGGCTCGCTGCGCTCATGGACGTGATCGTCCGATCGAAGAAGTTTACTCAGAACCAGTGTAGATAGGACATTTTTCCTTCTTCAGGCGAACTCAGGTCGCGACATGATGCGCCGCCATGGGGGCGGCACACTGTGTAGCTAAAATAAATGCGAAAGGAGAGAGGCCAATCCATTGGCCATAGCCTGTAATCCAGATTAACTTCAAACTTGTCTAACCCATGTGATATCACCACCGTAAACATATGATCAATCGGCGTGCATAGAACGGCATTGACTAATGCAATCAGTGGCCCATTAAACAGCCCATTGGACTAACGGAGATTAGATTCCTGTCATCGTCCACGTTTCTTGCTTCCCGAGATATATAGGTTAATCAGAGCCGTCCGAGAGATGGGCCCATGTCATCCCGAGATACAACGGCTCGAGAACGAAACCGTTGATCGCTGGGCCGAATGCTATGTTGCTACCGGCGCTCGGATCCCTCGCTGGACCGGTCTCAACAAGCGAAGAAGGCGTTGGCTGGCGGTGAGATCGGCCGGGTCGAGGATGAAGCTCTCGTCGACGGGGCCTGACGACTGGCACCTCGTTTTGGGATGCTACACTCGTTCATTGCCTGCATGAAAATTCAGAAAACAATGCGTATAAAAGGAAAAGAGAGACGAGAGAAGAGACAAAAAGCAGAGTTTGTCATTTACAAATATTGCATTGGTTTTGTTTGTGTAAACTACCATGAGCCGTGGCCTCCGGGCCGACGCGGCTCGGTTCGGATCCGGATGGCGGGGGATCTCCAAAGGGGGTTCCTCAGGATTGCTGAGGACGCTGGCTCGATCGGTTCAGTCGTGGAGGTGGGTCGCCGTTTCCTTCGGGAAGGGGCTCCTCGCATGGTGGGTCCGGAGAGAATCGTCTCGTCTTCGTTCCTGCGCACAGGTCGGGTTGGGGTGCTTGACCCGACCCCTCCGATGATCAAGTTAGTTCAAGGTCGCATGATCTTTTTTTTTTTCTTTCCCTGCTTGTTTAGAACGCGAGGGTATTTATAGGGAAGTTTGGTGTTATCGGGTGTGCCTGCCCACAGGGGGCAGGATCGTACCTCTGACGGCGTCTGACATTGCCGTTGGCCTGGCATGAGGGATAGAGCCTGAGGGGTCGTTAATGGGCCTCGGTCGACATTTCGGCCCGTGTTTGCCATGTGTTGTCAGTCCGACAGAGACGTGGGGCGTCAGTTGATGTCACGTGAGTCTTATCATAATTATCTCCCTCATCATACTCCCCCCCAAAGGAAGCTATGTGTCGGTTGTCGTAAGGGGGGTCCGAGGCATGGCTTCGGTTTTAAGGAACTATCTCTGTCGGGCGGAGATCGGTTCGTCGCCAATGGCGGGGGCATTATGGAGCTTGGCAATTGATGAGGGTTGGATGTGCAAAGCTGGCACTAAGTAGTGAGTGGCCTGTGGAACCCCAGAGTATGACTCGTAGGTCAAGTTGGGCTCGGCCGTAGGGGTGGTAAGCTTCTCAAGCGGGCAGGCCACGGAGCAGTGTGGGGCCGAGGAGCACGACGCAAGCGGCTGCGGCCGAGGAGCTGGACTCGGGCGAGTGGGCCGCGCAGGTGTGGTCTCAGGTAGCATGGGGTCGAGGAGCATGACGCAGGCGGCTACGGCCGAGGAGCTGGACTCGGGCGAGCAGGCCGCGCAGGTGTGGTCTCAGGCAGCATAGGGCCGAGGAGCACGACGCAAGCGGCTGCAGCCAAGGAGCTGCTTTGATTGGATCTGTAGGTTGTGCTGTGGGAGGCGCGGGCGGCCGGGTAGCCTTTAGTCTGCCCAGGAGTCCAGGGGACGAACCTTTTCGTGAATCGCCAGTATTCGAGAAGACCGGCGCTTCAAGCCCGTTGTTTGCCACGCGTAGCGCACCCATTGGCCGCCCTGTCAAGCCACATTTATGGTGGAATGACGTTTGGTCGTCCCGACATGACATGCTTCAGGAAAGGTCTAGTGTTTTTGGCAGGATTTTGTTTATAAGTAGTGTGCAATTAGTCCCCTGAAGGTCTCTCCACTCGTTTTTACTCTGCCGCTTCGGACTCCATCGTTTCGTTCGAGTCGTCCGTTCCTCTTCTCTTACTAAAGGTCGGTAAGGATGGTGTCTTCTTCCTCTTCCTCTTCTTCATCAGTTAAAGTCGGGAAAACGGTGACTGCGTCGAGTCCTTACTCGTCATCCGACGAAAAGGCGGCCCGGGCCCTTGAGGCCCTGATGTGGCCACATGACCTCGATTCCACTATGAGCGAGTCGTCGCTCGGTCGCCTCTGGGATCGCTACGGCATCCCGGAGGAATTCGTCCTTCTTGCACCCGAGCCCGGTCAACGAGCGTACGACCCGATTCCCAAGGGCTTCACCCTCACCCTTGATGCCTTTGAGGCCGGGCTACGCCTCCCCTTGCATCCCATCATGACTTCTTGCATTTCATGGTTGCGTATCTCCCCGTTACAGATGGCGCCCAACTCCTAGTGCTATCTAGTGGCGTTCCTAGGGGAGTGCCACTATGCCAACATCACCCCGACCCGGTCCCTCTTCCTTTCTTGCTTTCGTCTTTCCAAGGGGTCGGGGGGTTACTATCTGTCTGCCCGAGCGGGCTTCCGAGTGAGCGGGGCTCCTTCCAGTAATAAGGGATGGAAGGGGCGCTTCTTTTTTGTCTGTCGCTCGGAGGACTGGGGGTTCGGGCTCCGGTGGGCGGCGTGCATGATAGACAACACCTCCCCGGCTTTGGATGATGAGGAGCGCCGAGAGCTCCAGAGGCTTAAAGAAATCCTTCCAGCCTCGAGAGCCATCCGGAGCATGTCTGAGCAGTGGTTGGTCGAGGCGGGTCTTAGCCCGATGCCTCGAGGTATGCCGTAAGGGGTAGCTTTAGGGTTTTCTTTTGGGGATTATCTAACCAATTGACCAATGTTGGTGATTTTGTGCAGAGATGGCGCTTCTCCGAGCCATGCGGGGGGGTAAGACTTCGTCGGCCCCATCCACTCGTTCGTCGGCCGAGGCGAAGGCCGGCTCGAGGGAGGCTCCGGTGGATGTCGAGGCCGGTCGTCCTCGGAAGAGGGCGAGGGCTTCCTCAGCAAAAGTCTCCGGGGAAGCTGCGGCTTAGCCAGCGGGGGCCGTCGCCGCACCGGCCGGCCGCGCCGGGAGGAGCCACGGGCGAGGAGAAGCCAGCTCAAGTAGGGAGGCGGCAGGGAAGGCTCCTCGAGAGCTCTCCATCCGCGAACTTTGTCGCCTTCCGGTCGGGGGGGAGGACGAGGCCTTATCTTCGTTCCTGCGCATAGGTCAGGTCGGCGTAGATTGCTTCACCAAACATTTTTTTTTTCTTCCCTTGCTTGTTTAGAACGCGAGGGTATTTATAGGGAAGTTTGGTGTTACTGGGTGTGCCAGCCTACAGGGGGCAGGATCGTACCTCTGACGGCATTTGACATTGCCGTTGGCGTGGCGTGAGGGATAGAGCCTGAGGGGTCGTTAATGGGCCTCGGTCGACGTTTCGGCCCGTGTTTGCCAGGTGCTGTCAGCCCGACAGAGACGTGGGGCGTCAGCTGATGTCACGTAAGTCTTATCATAATTATCTCCCTCATCATACTCTCCCCCCAAAGGAAGCTATGCGTCGGTTACCGTAAGGGGGGTCCGAGGCATGGCTTCGATTTTAAGGAACTATCTCTGTCGGGCGGAGATCGGTTCGTCGCCAATGGTGGGGGCATCGTGGAGCTTGGCAATTGATGAGGGTTGGATGTGCAAAGGTGGCACTAAGTAGTGAGTGGCCCGTGGAACCCCGGAGTATGACTCGTAGGTTAAGTTGGGCTCGGCCGTAGGGGTGGTAAGCTTCTCAGGCGGGCAGGCCGCGGAGCAGCGTGGGGCCGAGGAGCACGATGCAAGCGGCTACGGCCGAGGAGCTGGACTCGGGCGAGCGGGCCGCGCAGGTGTGGTCTCGGGCAGCATGGGGCCGAGGAGCACGACGCAGGCGACTGCAGCCGAGGAGCACGACGCAGGCGACTGCAGCCGAGGAGCACGACGCAGGCAACTACAGCCGAGGAGCTGGACTCGGGCGAGCGGGCCGCGCAGGTGTGGTCTCGGGCAGCATGGGGCCGAGGAGCACGACGCAGGCGGCTACGACCGAGGAGCTAGACTTGGGCGAGTAGGCCGCGTAGGTGTGGTCTCGGGCAGCATGGGGCCGAGGAGCACGATGCAGGCGACTGCGGCCGAGGAGCTGCTTTGATTGGATCTGTAGGCTGTGCTGTGGGAGGCGTGGGCGGCCTTTGGTCTGCCCGGGAGTCCAGGGGACGAACCTTTTCGCGAATCACCAGTTTTCGAGAAGACCAGCGCTTCAAGCCCGTTGTTTGCCACGCGTAGCGCACCCATTGGCCACCCTGTCAAGCCACATTTATGGTGGAATGACGTTTGGTCGTCCCAACGTGACATGCTTAAGGAAAGGTATGGTGATTTTGGCAGGATTTTGTTTATAAGTAGCGTGCAATTAGTCCCCTGAAGGTCTCTCCACTCTCCTCCCTCTTGGTCTCGAGCGCTTGCTTATTCTTGTGAGGAAGAAAGCGTACACGGCGAGACGACCGGTTCAGCTAAAGGGCTGCCAACAACACTCTCTATTTCTTCTCCTTAGTGGAGATCGCTGGGAGTGTGGTCGCTAGGTGTTGGGACGAGAAGCGCAAAGGGAGAAGAGAAGCAGGATGCCACAACAAAATCAAGTAGAAGAAGCTGCCATCGCGGCGAGCGGCATTACCACCTTCAACAACGAGACAGAGGAGGACGATGAGACGACATCGGTGTTCAGCATGAAGAGCCTCCTCTGGCACGGCGGCTTTGCCTGGGACGCCTGGTTCAGCTGCGCCTCCAATCAAGTGGCGCAGGTGCTGTTGACGCTGTCGTACTCCTCGCAGCTAGGGATGCTGTCCGGCGTGATCCTTCAACTGTTCTACGGCTTCCTCGAAAGTTGGACTGCCTACCTCATCAGCATACTGTACATCGAGCACCGCACCCGAAAGGAGAAGGAAAACGTCAGCTTCAAGAACCACGTTATTCAGCTTCCCGAGATTCCAAGCTAGCAAATCCCTCGGTTTCACTATCTTCCACTTGATGAGGGAGATAATTATGATAAAACTCACGTTACATCAGCTGACGCCCCACGTCTCTGTCGGGCTGACAGCACTTGGCAAACATGGGCCGAAACGCCGACTGAGACCCATTAACGACCCCTCAGGCTCTATCCCTCACGCCATGCTAACGGCAATGTCAGACGTCGTCAGAGGTACGATCCTGCCCCCTGCGGGCAGGTACACCCGGTAACACCAAACTTCCCTATAAATACCCTCGCGTTCTAAACAAGCAGGGGAAGAAAAAAAAAGATCATGCGACCTTGAACTAACTTGATAATTGGAGGGGTCGGGTCAAGCACCCCGACCCGACCTGTGTGCAGGAACGAAGACGAGGCAATTCTCTCCGGACCCACCAGGCGAGGAGCCCCTTCCCGAAGGAAACGGTGACCACCTCCACGACCGAACCTACCGAGCCAGCGTCCTCAGCAGTCCCGAGGAATCCCCTTTGGAGATCCCCCGCCATCCGGACTCGAACCGAGTCGCGTCGACCCTGAGGCCACGGCTCAAGGTAGTTTACACAAACATTTTGGCGATAGAAGGAGGGCCATGACTCAAGGTAGTTTACACAAACTTGACCTGACCTCTCCGATGATCAAGTTAGTTCAAGGTCGCATGATTTTTTTTTCTTTCTTTCCCTGCTTATTTAAAACGCGAGGGTATTTATAGGGAAGTTTGGTGTTACTGGGTGTGCCTGCCTGCAAGGGGCAGGATCATATCTCTAACGGCGTCTGATATTGTCGTTGGCGTGGCGTGAGGAATAGAGCCTGAGGGGTCGTTAATGGGCCTCGGTCGGCATTTCGACCCGTGTTTGCCAGGTGCTGTCAGCCTGACAGAGACGTGGGGCGTCAGCTGATGTCACGTGAGTCTTATCATAGTTATCTCCCTCATCAGGTTTTACCTGAATAAATGGAAAACTAAGAAAATAACAAGTACAAGAAGAAAGATGAGGTGAGAGACTTGTATTTTCGATGATAACAATACGAGTAACTATGCGATCAAGCATCTCCTTCATCCTTAACATCAAAGCACGTCGGTAATAGCAAACGAGGATGCAGAGCAAATTTGACTATTGATTTGTTTGTTTTTCTTTCCAAAATGAAATGGACTCATGTGGTTTGTCAAGAAAGACAATGTCCCAATCAATCAGAAAACTAGAAGATCGCAAACCTGTCATAAAGAAATTGACAGCGACATTTCGATTGCATCTTCAGAGATGCCTTTTCCATCGGCAGGGAATCATCTTCCAAATCCAAAGCAGCTTCAGCGCCAGCGAGAATTGCACTCAGAGTGCCCGGGCGATGTTCTTGAACTCGTTCAAACAAGATTGCAAGACCTTTTGGCGCTTGTTGAGTGACTGCCTCTCGCCTTGAAGGACATCGATCGCACCCGGCGCCACAAACATGTCCATGAACTTCTCATCATTCACGGCGAACAGCTGAAGGCCAAGCGCAACGAACAGCCTCTCGCGACTGCATCATTCGAAAGAATGTTACGGTAGGTCACATGAAAGATCAAAACAGCAGCTGAACGCTTCATCGCATGGATGATGAAAGGAAAGCGAACAGGAAATATATATTCATGAGATGGATAAGGAGAATAGGCATGAAAACCCACCAGGGAGTCAGGAATCCAGCACTCAAGGCTGATGGAATGTTTCTCTCGATGAGGACCTGACGTATCCTGGCAAAATGTTGAGCTGACATAGAACAGATCTCAGCATATGATGATCCTGTTCTTGAGCCCTTATTACCTGCACCAAACAAAATGCTAGTGTTTTGGTTCCTGTTAGCTTCCAAATTTCTTCCAGAAGTTATGATTCTCGCTTGTCGTTTTCTTCCTCCAATATCCATCAAGTTCACAGTATCCTTCTTGACCCCATAAACATCTTGTGGCTGATCAGGTGAAGGCGTCTCAGGAACTGTCATTTGACTTTCCCTTAGAGCATCCTTTGCTTCAGTTGCTTTACCAGGTGTTGAATGCTGTTGATCTCTGGGTGGTATGTTCTCTTGATCTGCACCCATTTCATCCTTTGCATCTGACAGATCCAGAACAAATGAGGTGGCAGAGAGCTGGTTAAATCTGCCAACATCACCTACAAGATCATTTTCATAGCACACTTGGGAGTATGGGCTGGTCACTGAACTGAGATGATGTTGCACTATTTCCTTGCATTGCTTGGAGAGATCCTGGATGAAGTTGTTGTAAGAACGCCTTAGAGCAGCATGAAATCCGATATACCCATCCATATCACCAGTTTTCCTCCAATCTGAACCAACATAGACATCAGTGGGATACCAATTTAGCAGGAATAAACCAGTCCAACAAAAGAACAGAGCATAGATGATCCAAACATAAAGACGATGTCTCATACTGCAAGCTTTTCAAGCATGTAAATTAGATACATACAGTCGGAGTCATGGCTTCGATTGCGCTCCAAAGCCAAGTCAAAAAGGCTCTTGAGAACAAAAGAGAGTCGTTCGCACGCAGCATCAAGAAGAGGAGCAAGCCATGCTCGTGCTGCTGCGCGTGCTATTTCAGCAGCTGCCTCGGTTAAGCCTCCACCCCCTCCTCTGCCGGCATGAGCGAGCAGTATATTTGCGACCTGCCGCAATGATGCAAGTCCGTAATGAGCTTCCACGAACAGAATTCAGCAAATAAAATTAATTTTACCTTTTCTCTAGAAACCAGTGGGCACTCGATGGAGTATGTAGCACATTGGAATTCATGCATTGCTCTCTCAAATGCTGCTCCACCATAGAGTTTAAGGGTGTGATTGGGAGGCTTCACGGCCACGGTGACTCCCGGCCAGCTGCCAATGCCACTATCTGACTGCTCTTCGTCAGTGGTTTTACCCCACTCTTCAGGAGCAGGATCTGATGCTCCATCAATTAGTGCCACCTACAGACCATACAAGGGTACTTGAGACTCGAAAGCAATACGACAAGAAACAAAGAACAAGCAAAAACGAAGGTTCAGATGCATGGATACCATATGACTGCAAATAGAGGCTACGTGCAACATGGCTGACCTCCGAAGATGGCAAACGTCAGAGGTTGCCTGTAACTTAGATTCCACCCGAGCTAATTCGATGGAGACTTCATTACAACGCTGTTCTAACAGGGCAAGTGTTGCAGGAGCTGCTTCCTTGTATCTCCTTTGAAGCTCAGATTCCAAGTATTGTCTGAGACAACTAAATCCAACATATGGTCCATACTTTTCCTCATCGAATCCTCCATTGACACTATCACGCAAATGACGCAGTACTTCTGCGTCTACCTGAGAAATCTGCCTGCGAAATTCCTCGTTTGAGACGCTGCCTCGGTCCTTGGGCAGTGCCACAAAATATGGGCGAATGTTCTCACCAAGATAACCATTGGCGCTCAAATAGTTGTCCACTTCCCACCGTTCAGTAAATTCCTGCACGGATATGATAATTTAGTACATAAAATTAGCTGATGCCGCTCTTGCAGATAAGTGCATAGCGGATACCTTCAACCGGTTATCGAACTTGGAGACGACTATCATTGTCCGTTTGAAAGTGGGATCAATCTCACGAATTGCATCTAACCAAAGCGAAGAACACCATTCCACACTGCTCTGCTGGAGGAACAAGAGAAGACGATGAGGAGGGCTTGCAAGTGACTTCACCATTGACAAAATCTCAGTTGGCGTGCTCTCTGGCTCGCCTTTCTTTGCCTGTGAAGACAGAAGTAGAAGACAATCAGTAAATTTACATGAGAAAAAGGGAGCTAAATTCAGCTAAAAAGTGCAACACCTTAAGAACAAAGCCAGGGGTGTCAATGATGGTGAGATTAGGGCAATGGGCATATTCGGCTCTCATCACGATTGGCTTAGAGGAAACGGAAGATTGGAGCTTTCTCAGATGTGCCTCTGTTCGTGATCTTATAAGATCAGCGATCGCAGAAGCCAAAACAATTGGACCCCCGTACTCCTCCGAATCCTCTTCCTGCGATCACATCAGTCGAAGGATGAATCTACCATTTCATACAAAATTAAGCAGAAATTTTGACAGAGAAAAGAAACCGATGTCTCGTCAAAATCCCTAATTTATAGAAGTCGATCGAAAAATCGAGAGGAGAAGGGACAAAGCCCCAGAGAGTGACATAAAGATTTGGGTAGATGACCTGGAATCTGCAGCGGGGTTCGAGGGCTGAGGGATCGTGAACCATCTGGAGCACGAGAGGCCTCCGAGTGCCCATCTCGACCTCCCGCACGTTGAACCGGAAGCCGAGGAGGGCTTCAAGTAGCGAGCTTTTGCCATCAGATTGGCCGCCAAGGGCCACGATCTCCGGGATGGGGAGCCTCTCGCCGAAGGCGACGGCGGCCGCCTGGAGGCGGTTGTAGGCCTCGAAGCGGGACTTGAAATCCGCGACGGCGGAGACGGAGGAGTCCATCTGATTGGGCGGCGGAGCTCTCCGGGAGGCGGAGGAATGGTTCTTAGGGTTGGGGGTCTTCATGGGGGTAGAGCTCTGGAAAGCGTTGGCCGCCATCACTGAGGCAAAGAGGGATTTGGAAATTTGAAAGGTCCGGGTAGCCGTTTGCGCTTTTAAGATTCGACAAACCGGTAATAGCCGGTCACCGAGGCAGCATCGTTTCCATGATGAGATTGGGCTTTCATAGGCCCATTTAATGCCTTGTTAGGACAAAAGTGTAATTCCGTCTCCATTGGTTGAGGAGGAGATGGAGGGGCGGTGAAGGAGACGAAACAGGGGGGCTCAGAAGGAGCAGAAAGGAGACGGCGGCGAAGAGATGGGTGGCCTGTACCTCACAGCCATGACCACCACTACTAGCTTCTGGCGCTTCATGCAGTTCCCGTGCTCTTTCCTGGATCATCTCTCAAGGAATCCGGTCATCCGGAGGATCGAGTTCCTGACATGGCAAAGCTCCCGTCCCTTGAGCGTCCTGCCGTCGCCGACGCACACCGAGAAGGTCGTCTTCCTCCGGGCCACGATGATGTGCGGCGGAACTCTGTGGTCACCGCTGCCATCATCATCACCATCACCGCTGCTACTTTTGGCGTCATCTCTACCGTCACGGATCGTACGATGAGCAGCTCGAGGTCTTGAAGGGATCTCGACGGGGCTGGACGCCTTCTGTCGTGATCCCCGCCTGGCATGCTGCTGCTCAGCGAGCTCATCTGCTCCACGAGCATCGTCGGGCCACAATACATCAGCTTCATCGAACTCCTCCATCAGCCTCCTCTGGGTTAGGAGGCGGGGCTATCTTGCACGAAGGAGGGGAGTGATCGAAGGCTCTATAAAGAAGGAAAAGCCAGAAATCTTGCACCCGAACGTGATCGTTTGGTTCGTAGCTCACAGTCGATTTGTTCGTCTGTTGGCATCCATGGTGAGGATGAGCTTCAAATGGCGTTATGATGTTCCCCTGACGTGTCTTCCTCTGTCTCAAGCAACTTGGAGCAAATGAATCGAAGAAGAAATAGATGTTGCGACGGGAACGTCCATGTTTGTACGCATACGGGGAACCATGCATCTGGACTACCTCCTGCATGCACCAAAAGTCTGCCATGCCACAACCTTACACGGAAAGAGACCTTCGTTCCAAACCACCGAGCTGTGGAGAAAGGGAATGAACTCGTTACGTCAAGAACTTGAGCTCTGGATGATGGATTGCCCTCCCTCCATCTGGACGGCCTGTGTTCTTCCGCGATACGATTGCATTGTTCACTGTCCTTTTGCTTCTTCTTGTCGTCGAGTGACGATAGAGAGTGATGGAAATGACACTATACCAAATTGGATGTCTTCATCTCTCGATACCAACTGTTCCAATCATCTTATTCGCAAGTTCGTCTCGTCTCGTCTCGTCTCGTCTCGTGTTTGTTCGATTCCCGCGAGCCTGCCAGCTTTCTCTGGAAAGAGAGATGTTTGGCATCAGCTGATAATGAATCAAGGAGACATGCAATGGATCAGCAGATCACGCGCCATTCTGCACTACAAGCATAATGAGATGTTAGTGTCATTTAGTGCCGGGCATTCGACATTGGCTATAATTCATCATCCTCGTCAACCACAATGGATCCCACTCGGAAGACTTCTTTGGCTTTACGTCATAATGAGCTTTCTGGTGCTCCTTGAAACTTAACCTCGCAGTACCCACTTCATGATCTGATTTGATGCACAATCATCCGAGTATCCGGCGAAGGCGCCGCAGCGGTCGTGCCATCTCAACGCGGGATGGAAGACAGGATAAAGAGAGCAGATGGAGGAGGAAAGAAACAAAGGGCAAAGAGACAGAGAGACGGAGGAGTGGAAGGGGATACCAGCGTTTGGTGGCGCACCGGAAAGAGGAAGCGGAGGCAGTGGCGGTGGTGCGTGACCGCGGTGGCCACAAATATGTGACGCGCTGTGGCTGTAACAGTTGTGAGAAATTTTTGGTATTTTCGTTAAGACGTGTGAGCTCGTGTGCTCTTTTTTTTTTTGTGTTGAATAAATTTCATTTTCTTAGAAACATGTTTGGGATGGACAAGAAGCAAAAGTCAACCTTATTTTTTTTTAATTTAGATATGCATTGCGTGGATGAGTGTCTCTTTTGGAAAAAAAAAATCAAAAGTCAACCTTAGTTTCATCATTTGGACGATAACATTTATCATTTAGGAATCTGTCCGGAATATGAATAAGTATAACTTTTTGGGTATAATTGAAAGGTCAACCTTAATTTTACGAAGGGCAGAGATTATAATTTTGAATAATATTATCTTTACGGAACATAAGGCGACTTCAAGTCCAACATTGTCGAAAAAGGGGCATCGCCTTTTTCGACATCACCCCACCTCATTTCGACGACGTCACCAAAATATATATATATATATATATATATATCAAACGATATATAGCTCAGTATATAATACCGTACCGTACCGAACGAATGTCAAAACTGATACGATATTTTAATTCAAGAGTATAAATCAAAAGTCTACGATATTTTAATTCAGGAGTATAAATCAAAAGTCAACAACTTTTAGGGTAGAGAAGGTATCAACCTTCCTGGTTTCTATGCTGCTTTCGTTCAGTTTTTTTTTTTTTTTTTGGTGCAGGGAAAGATTAAAAGAAAAATAACTTTTGACAGTAAATCTAGACAATAAATCTGGAAACACCAATACACCATACTCCAGTAACATTATTCAGATATTACCACAGCCCACATATGGCAGCTACCTGGCTTCCATGATAATCCAGTAACAAAAGCAGCCAGCATTGGGGAGTTTATATGAAATTAAAACTCGTGATACCATCCCAGTATATGCACATGGATATAAAACCAGAGAACCCAGATGAGGATAACAAGTTGAATTCCTGTGACCACCATATCGAAAAATGTAAGCGGTATGTGTTCCATATGGTTTTCCAAAGGGCAGGGCAATTTGTAACTTCTGTACATTTCACTGCAAGTCACCCTATGGTCAAACCAGCATTCTCGGATCCAACTCTCATTGGAACATCCAACAATGTCACAAGTTTGTAGTGGATGAACGTGACGAATGGCTGCTGGTGCTTTCTTTCTTCCACATTGCCTTGAAATTTGAGAAGCATTTTAATTGCACCATCTGGTAAAGAAGAACAAAATGAAGGAACCAAATCTTTAGTTGAAGCTGTTAGAGAAACTATGAGGTGCAGAATTGTCAAACGAGAGGAATTTGAATCTCATCCAGAATGAAAGAAAACGAAACTCAATCATTCATGTCCTGCAGATGCTTATATCTGTAATAGAAGCAGGAATTCAGTGAATCAACTTAAGCCAGCTATCATGGACTTCTACACGGTTCTGGTTTGGGTAGTGATCCTGACAAAGGCCAAGTGTTCTTTGGTGGCTGTTTTAGTTCAGAGAGAAGAGATACTTGAAATTTACAATTCAGTGAAAGCTACTAGTTAAATACTTTGGATTCCCACTGCTTTCTTTGAAACTAAAACCCTAAAATTGAAGCATTCTTGATCAGAGCAACAGCCAAAGTAATGGGTCTAGGACTCTGTAAAGTGTCTTAAATACACAGGTCCATGTTTGTGTTCTTAAATACACAGCCAAACTAAAACCCTCAACGGGTCCATGTTTGTGTTCTTAATAGTACACTTTTTTTTTCAAGAACCTAAATGTTTGGCTCGATACAGTTTCCGAATGTGTAAGACATCATGTATGCTTTCATCCATTCATGCAAAAGACTGTTATTAGTGAATTATTTCTTCAATCAGATATGATAATAGAAATTGCTTGCTGCATGGAACTTTTTAGTTAAAGATAGTATTTCTAAGCTTCAATTTTTTTTTCTAATTGCAATGTGTTCAATCTTACAAAATTTGCTTCATCTAGCATTTTATAGGTAAAGAATATCATGATATCATGCTCTTTGTGCTTCCAGGAGATAACCATGGTCTCAACATATTGCTATTTAGATCTGAAATGAGAAAGTGTACCATGAAGTAAACACATATGTCAAATCAAACTTTCACCAAAACAAAATTTCTAGATAGAACTGATTTAAATTCTCCAGGTATTTTGGTATGTATTTTCATGTAAAACTCTGTGATTATAAAGAGCAAGTATTTTGGTAGCTTACAGCAGACTGGCACGATCAGTAGAACAGATATGGAGGTCACAGAGAAAATAATAATTGCTTTTTGTGAGCCAAGTAATAAGATGACGAAAAAGAAAAAAAATGCATCATGAGGTAGAAGTTTAAGAAACTTACCCTCCAATGTCGTTTTCTAACAATATAATTTTGAATATTTAACAATCGATCAATTATGTCTTTAAATGTCGGTCTGTCAGCAGGGTTTTCACTCCAGCATTCCTCAATCAACCTGCAAGTGGGAAAATCGTGTGTTTGATCCAGTCAATCTTCTGTGGTAATAAAGCAACATAAGAACTTAATTCTTTCGCGTGCACACAAACAGACTCACTCACACAGACAGTCATATGGGGGGGTTCTCATTGCGGCCACTAATAAGTAGTAGTTGTGTCTATTTCAATGTTGCTTCATAAAGATGCTTCCTAAAAATCAAAGTTGTGTTTGTTTTTCCGCATGAAAGTATGGAGAGCAATTTCTGAAGCATAACTCGGCTTATCATATACCCCAACCTAATGTGCTAAATGGAGCATATCAATGGTTTTACTACCCAAAAGCAAAACAAAGGCAACCAGCACCAGAAAATCTATGCCATAAAAAATAATTCATTGACCATTGCATGATTTTGAGACAAATCAATGATAATCCACAATAAAGTAGATCAACTATAAAAATATAAATTGAGAACAAGACTTACTCTTTTAATCCATGCACGTACAATTTTGGTGGAGCTCCAAAAGGTGGTCTCTGCTTAGACACATATGCTTTTGGAACTTCATTATCTTGTTTATAACAAAAAGGAGGGCATCCTTCAATCATCTATAAAAAGGCCAATGACAGAGTCAAACACGTTAATGCACTTTTGATAACACATTGGATTTAGCCACAAATACCTAGTAAGGCAAAAGACAACCATCATTTCAATACTTAAAAGGCACATAAAAGTTTATTGCATTTACATAAGTGATGAATCTCAACTTCATAAAACTAGAAACTTGGTTCTAGTGTCAACTATAGGTTAGATAGCAAATCTCAACCAGTATGTTGAGTAGTGTGCGTTCAGTCACTGCTGAAGCCGGCAACAGCATTAAGCTGGAACACAAGTCAGGTGCGGCAGTAATAATAACAATTTTTAGGAAGCTTGCAGTCTGAATTTGAAGAAACTCATTTCACCAACAATTACAGTCCCTAGTTTCTCAAGCTTCAATGGTTCTTTTATGGTACATCAAGAAACCAACCAACATGTCTATAATGGACAAGAATGTACATATCAAAGAACAGATGCCAGATAAATAGTGGTAAAGAGTGTAAAAAATTCCTTACTATATGTTGAAATTAATCATACTTGAGAGTTCAAAGCAGTAGTAATAATTTAGAAACCCATCTCCTAGGAAGTGTCATGATTAGTATACTTTGACCACAACACATTATTTATGCATATAAACAAAGTTAAGCACACAAACATTTTTCTCAGTTTAGTCATAGTAGATTCACCTTTAAATTAATATCCAAAATAAGTTGTTGAAATTAAACTGAACATGTAAGCACCACCTTTACCTCTTGTAGAATCAAAGCAAATGAAAACACATCCACTTTGGTATCATACTCCTCATTGCAGAAGACTTCCGGAGCCACATACCTGCCTGTATATAGTAAATCAAACATAAAAAGTGACATATTAAAAGTTAAAAGATTAAAATGGAACAACCAGGCTGTGATTGACTAATATATAACTGCAAAAAGAAATATTGCTACACTCACAAGGAGTGCCTAGATGTGTTAATGATCTTTCTTCTCTAACAGTCTTCGCCACATTTAACAACTTGCTCACTCCAAAGTCTGCAACCTTCAAATTCCCAGAATCATCCCGCAAGATATTTCTATTATTCACAATAGAGAAAGCATAAAAGATTATTCTGGCAAATATTAAGATAATCGTAATTCAGATGAGAGTGTAAATTGAAAAAAGCGTCTAAACACTTACGAAGGCTCAAGATCACGGTGAATTATGGCTTCTGGTTTATGCTCATGTAAGTAATTCATCCCTCTGGCATTTGTTCATGTAAGAGATTAGATTATGCTCAGCTAACTGAAGATGAAGAGTTGACTTAAAATGAGAAAAAGAAATAAAAATATTAGTATCTCCATTTATATTCCTTAAAAAATACATACAGAAATGATAAGCACATGAAATCATGAACCAACCTAGCAATATCAAGTGCAAATCGCACTGCCGATGATGGCTTTAGAGCTCCTTTACGTTTCAGATAGGCACGTAGGTCACCCTGCAATATGAAGGAGAACTAAAAAATCTGAAAGACAACTTCAGCCAAATGATGGAATCATGGAAGTAACATTTTCCATTTGTAGGAAAGAGTTGAACATTCACTTCAATTCAATTAGGTAGTTTGAAAGAACCCATTGTACCGAGGGCTCTTTTCTTTTTTAACATTGGGTTGACAACGTGCACATATGCATTCTGGTAAACAGCATAAGGCAGATTCTTTCTTGTATATACCTGCTAATATTTAGTTGGCATCAAAACAGAGCATTTTTGTGAAAAATTAGTTGGCATTACAACAGACCTTTTCTTCGTGAAAAAAATGGTTAATGTACATGAAGAAGAGGGATGTAGGAGGATTTCTGAAGCATTAAAATATTTGTTTTCCTTCCATCTTCATGCATGCTAAGCCTCTCTTTTCTAATTTTTCTCAAGTCTCTCCATTATCCTTCTTCCTAGCTCATATATATGTACATCAAATAAAAAAGGTTCACTTTATACTTGACCAACTAACAAGTATGCATTCATAGGAATCCATCAGCATGAGGATTTATGAAACGGTTGATTTAGCCTTTGCTATGATGCAAATTCCAGAGTTTGATGGACGAGAAGTTAAAAATAATACCACGATAAAAAAAAGAGACCTCCAAATGGATGTGTTCAATTTGTATCTAGATTACAGTAAGAAGAACAACCTTTGGCAAATATTCTGTAACAATCATCATTGGACTGCTTTGAGTAACAGCACCCAAAAATTGAACAACATTTGGATGTCGTATTTGTTGAAGCAATGCAAGCTCATCTCTGAATGCCCTTCTGCAAAGCACATAAAGAAACTCTAAATGACAAACATATAATGAACACAAACGTAAATGCAACATAACCACAAAAGTATATATAAAAATTTGCAGTAGATTTGACCCAACCCACAATTTATTCTCATCGACCAGGACATCTTCACCATACTTTTTAACAGCGACTCGAATTCCACGCCATGTTGCTAATCTAAATGTTCCCTAACAAATGATATTGGTAAAATGAAGAGAAAATAAGTCATACTGCACAGAAAAGTTTGCAGAGATCATGAAATTGAAAATAATAAAATAAGGGAAACACTCTTTAGCAGGAAAAATTCAGATACGAAGAACTGAAAAAGTGATAGCTCCAAGCAAAATGTAAATGTTCTTCATACTTAATATAAAACTAATTTAGTGAGAGCTGTTTCAGTTATATTAGCCCAGCTTACATGTAATTAAAAAATCTATCGTGAAATTATGCCAGTCACAAATATGTTAAAATGGCATAGCAATAGAACTATAAGGTCCCAAATATCAAGGTTCAGCTATATGGTTCTTCTCCCAACATTGTGCTCTGTTAAGTGAAATATCGCTACCCAAACTAAAAACCAATAAATCTCTTCTTGTTATCCTAAAAAAGTTTTCTAAAGCCTTTCCCTACCGATCAAAGCACCACTGACCGAAATGGCTTGACACCTTTAATCGGTGCATCGATAGATATTGAACAGCAATATTTAAATTCAAGTGACAAATTCCTTTTGGCCAGCAAACAGCTAGAGTTTGAACATTGACACTTACATAATGTAAACAAAGTATATCTATCCCATAACGTACAAAGATATGATAGAATAAATGACTGCTTGGAGGCTGCAACTGTTTAGGATAAGCTGAAGACCACTAAGGTTATTTTAACATATGTAAAGGAGACAATGAAATGCACCCAGAAGAAGGCTAGAGAATCATACACAGGTAGGCCATGTGGAGGTAGGATGACAATAATAATCTTGGACAGGGAGTCAAGGAAAGAAAAGGCATAATGACCCTTAAACTGAAAATTTGAACATAAATAACCTAGATGACAAAAGAAATTCGTTTTGAAAACCATAAATTGGAATATTATGCTCCAATTTGCAATAATTACAGTTTATTCATTGAAATGCCATGTATAAAACATAAAATGTGTTCAAGGATAATGGAGGGGAAAATTATTCTGAAGTCAGAAATTTAAAACCACCAAATAGATGCTTAGACCAATGAAGTGAACATAACAAATTAAAAACAACAGATAGTAGGATTCTGATTAAGACCACATTGTATCTTAGCCATAGATAGGAAAGAAAATATATACCTTGGTTATATTAACACTGTGAGTGAAATCAAGTTCACTGGGGTCAATCTCATACTCAGGGACTTCACGGGCATTCTTGACATGCATAGGAATAATCTACATAAGGTATAAACAACAAGGGATGATAGCATATAAATTGATTAAAAGAAAAGTGCATCACCTGATATCTACCTTTTCATCAAACTAGAAAGACTAAAAAGTTTCGCAATTGACATACCGATAGCTTGGCACCATGCTTCTCCAAAAGATCGATCACTTCGTGGTTATTATAATGTATTGCATCTGCAAGTGGCTGTTAGCAGTAGAAAGAATGAGGAGATCGTATTTTAAAAAAGCAATACATTAAGATTCCAACATGTAAATTGTACAAGGCTAATCATCACCCATAGTAATGACTTGCGCAGAGTAATTGAAACCATCAACATATAGTAAAGTTACTCTGGTCATGATTTGAATTTGGCCAAAATGGACTAGTTTCAGCCAAAATACTCAGTGGTTCTCATATTGGTTTGATGCTCCAATAACTTTTATATAGCCAAATTCAGTTGGTTGTACATAGCTTCCACAGAAACCAAGTGATTTCAGCCAAAACCAACTAAGGTTTGGGTAATTAGGGTCTACTGACAGAACTTACTAATGTGTTAGCACTTCAATTCAAGCTTTTGGATCTTCTAACAGAACTTCATAATACACTAGTACTTATAGCTTTCGGTGGATTATTTGCTAAAAGTCACGATGGTTTCTTCTTACCAGAATATCATTTGCAAACATCTGGTCAAATCTAACTAGTTAAGTTGGATTTTAGGTTATGCCAAAAGAATTTGACTTAATGATTTCTCGAGATTTCAATGCTAAACCAAACTAATTAAAAATACTTATTAAATAAGCATGCGAGTCAAAAGTTTACAGCAACTTCATGCACCTAGTTGATTAGGAATGTTTATAACTCCATTTTCGTTTAGTTTTAGATCTTCGAAGAACTTCAAATTGTAAACAACGAATGGTTGTTAACTTGAAATGCATATTTTGTATGCTCACGTTATTCAGATCAAGTCTACTAGTTTAACACAAAGTGGTCAGATGTGGGCAACTAAACGTTATAATTTGAATATGTTCGAGAATCAAACAACAAAAAGAATTGTCAACATGATATATATTATTTTTAAAATCGTCCCTCCTTTTACTATTTTTCAGACCAAAACTTTAAATCTCAAACTGAATGTCACAAGACAGAAATTGGCAAAACCAAAAAGTAATATATAGGCCTGACAAGACCAAAACTGCAGTTCTAGTTTAAAACCTTAATGTTTACGCGACAAGTTGTGTTTGATGATTATATTATCGCTCTCCAGAACCTCAAATCGGCGTCTAAAAGTTCTATCTTCGGCATAAAGAAAGTGGCATTTCAATGATTCAGAAACAAATTATTTGTCATGCGATCTTCTCTCTACATTAAACCACATCCTTACTGACAATTAAAGAACAACATGAATAAATAGCTTCTAAGTCTAACGTTTAACTTGTCAGGATTAAAAATTCAAAGGAAGCTAAGAGATTAAAGGTGATTCAGAACATAAATGCAGCAAAGAACGGCACCGAGGAATCCTTCCTGGTCAAGGCCGCTGAATATACTTGAGGCAACATGAATCCAGAATGGCCAGTGATGTTGTTAGCATGTACAATCCATTAGGCACAGCATGATAGAGAATCAAAATTCAAAATTCCAGCAAAAACGAAGACTACCGTGTGTTTTTAAGTCCTCAAGAAGACCAACAAACAATTCGCGCGCGTGAAGAAATCCAAAAATCCAACTAAAGAAAAAAGAAAGAAAGAATCGTCGATATCACCACGCACCGTGCTGCCCCAGCGGTCCTCCGGGCCCACCTGCGCCCCCCTGTCGAGCAGCAAGCGAACGACGTCGGCGAAGCCCTGACAAGCGGCGACGTGCAGAGCGGTGCGACCGTCGATGTCCCTGAAGTTGGCGTCAACGCCGGAGGCCAGGATCTCCTCGATCCCCTCCAGGTCGCCCTCGCTGGCGAGGTACATGAGGCGGATGTCGGCGTCCACGTCATCGGGGAACCGGAAACCATCGCCGTTGCTACTCTCGTCGCCGCAGTCGCGATCGGGGGCGAGGGAGGATTGCTTGCCGAGGGTGAATCTTCCGGTGGACTTGGACTCCATCGCCGCTAGAGAGGTCTTCGGGCCGACGTCGGTGGGTCGGCAAGGAGGAGGAGGAGGAGGAGGAGGGGGACACAGGGAGAGCTGCGCTGGAGCGTCTGTGGTGGCGACGTTCGTCCGGGACGTTTGTGGGCTTTTATGAAGAGGAAACAGCGCTGTTGAGGTTGGACATGACAGCGCTGTTCATTTATCCCCTCATATCGCCCGATGTGGGTTTTGCGTCTCCGAGGAATGTGGAATACGAAATCATATATAATAAGTAATTATTTATCTGTTGGAGCAATAAATTCGAGCTCTAAACTTGGGCAGCACAACGGAGGCATTTGGATAATTGACGGCGGAAGCTTCGGAAATGACAACTTGCGAGTCGCTTACCCAAAGCCGCTATTCTGGGGCCCGCATGTGCTGGCCCGACGCTCTTCCTCGTGGCTCTTTTTGCGTGTGACATCCTCGTATAATAAAACTGTAACGTAATATCACAAAAAAAAAAAACAACGCCTTATATATATATATATATATATATATATATGAATGATGCTTGTTTGGATGTGATCACTAAGAAATATTGTGCATCGATCTTAACGAGATTAGACTTTGACTGAGGAAAAAAATATTTCTCGAACATGGAATCATATATTCAAATGTTATTCAATGTAAAGATAAACTTATCTGTCGAGAAACGACTTGGCCTCCAGTCATGTTTTCATCTCGACGTGATCCACTTAGGGATCTTACGCATGAATACGTGGTTATCAACACAATATCTACTTGGGTACGATTGATAGTCCCACCACATTAATACCGATGCATAACTATATTAATCATGATATAGAATAGTTTAGTAGCATGTGAAGGCTCATAATTATCGTATAAATTAAATACTTATTTATACATTCATTTACCAGAAAATTATTATATAAGGCGTCAACTAGCCCTAGTCTGAAAATAAAATTGAATATATAATCAAATCTTTCAATTTAAGTATTTTTTTCTTCTTATGAATAAATTTTAAAAAATAATTATTCAACATTCTAAGTTGGATAACATTATTTTTATCAATAAATTAAATAAAACTAAAAAATAAAACGATTTTTATCAATATCCAATTTTTCTTGAGTTCGAAAATCAATTAGTCGAATAAAAATAAAACGATCGCATTTAATTTGCATAAATTTTCAACAGTTGTTTGCTCTATGCTACTGGCTTTAACATCTTGGCCAGAGAAAAAGACGAGTCATCAAATCAGAGAGGAACCTAAATACTACTAAATTCGGACCATTTGTTATGTCTTAAAGCCCAAGATACTAAATACAAATTTGATCCAACTCCCTCAGCAACCTTACGAGTCAATTTAGTTGACTTCGTTACTATTTAACTTGATCCATTTTCAGTAGGTCAGTCCGTGAAGACGAAAACCATGGTTGAGATCAAGCCATGCTAAATAGCATTCCTGATAAAGGAAGGGCTTGCTTGGATGCTCTTAGGTCTGTTTCTTAGGCGTGATCCTTGAAAGATCCTCTTTAAAGAATTGAATAAAAGGAATACTCTGAGACGATAAAGTATTTTATCGCCTTACCTTTACCTAAATTTGTCAAGATAGCCAGTGTGTTGTCTTTGATCCTGAAAGCTTTTTGTTAACTTCCAAAAATTATCACTAAGAAATCTTTCATTTCTATACAAAAGTAGCAGATTTCTTTCTTTTTTCCCTTGTATGCTTCTACCCACATGAAGTTCTGACTTCACCCCTGTTAAACCTCCCAAGTGACTATTTCATGATCCAAAAAAGAAGTGTTGCTATAAGATGCAAAATCGATAAAGATCAACTGCTGGCATGAGCAAAAGAAGCTTATCTAAGGTTTGCAACACTCAGATCAACCTCTGTGATATGAAAGCACACAACTGCCATCAGTGCACCATGTAATATAAAAGCATACAACTTCTAACAGGATGTATATCGAATTATACTCCCCATATTATGCTAAAGAGAGTAGCTCTGTTGGTAGTAGCAACTGGTGAACTAAGAATCATCGATAAATTCAGAATGGCACTACTAAATTTTCCTAATCTTGCTGAAAAGTATTATATAAAACTTACACCCGCAATTATATGATCTGATCAATAGTAAAGGAATTCTCTGTAGATGTGGCTTGTTATCAGTAGAACAGTTTAAGTTGGAATAATAGGAGTTAGATCCCAATTAAATATCTCACAGGAACCTTCTGAGAAGACATAATGGAAAGACAATATCAATGTTGCGAAGCCTGAAGCAAACGAGGGGTGAAATCTAAAAAAAATTAACATAACTACCCAACACTCTAGCCTTTCTTTCCATTTATGTTACCTAAGTCTCTTTCTCATTCCTCATTTGTTCTTTATCCCATTTTCTTCTACTCCTCCTCCCATCTACATGTGATCAGTAAGCCTGCTGCTTGGCAGCTTATGAGAGCCCCAGTGTAGAGGATATGACGTTTCTTCTCGGGGTCCTGAATTGGAGGAGAATTAATTTAATTGCAAACTGACTAGGTGACACTGTTCTTAAATTCCTTTGTAGTTTCATCCTCTAAACAGGCCTACAAGAATCCAATAGAATTATTTAAGAGAGAGAGAGAGAGAGAAAAGGGAAAATTGAAGAGGGTAGTTGAGAGTAACAAGTAGTGAGAAATGATCAAAGGAGGATAAGTTAGAGAACAGTTAGAGAGAGAGAGGAGAGAGACTGACTTGATGGGAAAATCTTTTAGTTAAAACTAGTTGGGCTAGGGATTTATAAACAATTAATTGATTTCAAACAAAAGGTGATATGCTTGATTCAATAATTTGAGTATTTCATATTTACATGTGGTTGGAAATTTTGAGAATGCAAATGTAAAGTAATGTGCTTCCAAGCAAAGAGCTCCAAACTAAACGAAGCTAAGTGGTGCACCATGATTTATCAAAAATCATTATGGACATGCAAACATGAGTTGACAGAGAAATCTAATCTTAATATTCTTACATGAGAGTTTGACAACCTCATCACTCTTGACCGAGAACAGATTTGTTCAGCATGTTCAACCTTTGGTTTCTTGTTTATAGACTACAATTTGCACAGAAGATAAGCAGATCCATGAACATGTAACCTACTAAAGGTAACAACTGTCATAATATGGACATGCAAAAATATTCTATATGGGCATTATAACCTGAGAATAATGCCATGAATCTTAAAATTGTCAGATCTGGCACAAGCTGAAAACCATATCCAGTGCTAATTTGGTGCATTTCTGGCTGAAAGCTTGTTTGGTATGTATCACCTAACCTGGCCTACGATTGCAGGTATCGTGCCATAACAAGTGCTTACTACTGGGGAGCGGTGGGTGCATTGCTGGTGTATGATGTTACTAGACATACTACATTTGAGAATGTTTCATGGTGGCTGAGGGAGTTGAGGGACCATACAGATCCTGACATAATTATCATACTCATCGGCAACAAGTCAGACCTCCGTCACCTTATTGCTGTTCCTACTGAAGATGGCAAGGCTTATGCTGAGAAGGAATCTTTATATTTTATGGAAACATCTGCATTAGAAGCAACAAATGTGGACAATGCATTTGCAGAGGTCTTGACTCAGATTTACCATATTGTCAGCAGGAAGGCAGTGGAGGCTGGTGATGATGCAGCATCTTCTGCACCACCTAGTACAGGTGAAAGAATAAAAGTGAAAGATGATGCGTCTACGATGAGGAAACTTAGCTGCTGTTCAACTTAGGTAATACTAATGTTACCCAAAGGTTACCTTCTCTTTGGGATGCATGTTTTAGGTGTTTTTCTGTAGTATTTGAGTTTTCTGTAGTATTTGAGTTCACTCGTTTTCTTTCGATATCAACAATTATGGATCTGAACTTCAAACTGAGGCTGTGTTCTTAACCAGTGGTACTGCAAATCTGCAAGTATAATCCATTATTCCATTTGTTGAGACGAATGATTTACTATGGTGTAAATTAGGATTGACCAAATTAGAAATTGGAAAAGCACATTGTTGTGCAGGTTAGAACTTAAGAGTTTGAGAACCAGTTGTTTGTTGATCCTTTCTTGTACATCCTTGTGACATATAGGCTGCTGCCCAATTCCCAACCACAAGAAGAAGAATTGACAAGAGATGGGCTTATATGTTAACCTAAGAGACGATTAGTGCTAGATAGATCAATCTTATTGGTTACAGTATGATCCAAGCACATAGAGGGGCAACTCTCCATATTTTCTCATGCTATTAGAAGAGTGTAAACAAAGGGGAAATATTGTCAGAATGTCGGATTTCGTATATAAATTTTTCCTGAATTCATCTTTTTCTTTTGTTCTCCTTTTGTCTTCCTTCCTCAAAAGTTGGGTCCACTCATTGTGCAGAAGCTTCATTCCTAAAACCAAGCTGATCCGGAGGTGATCAAAGCGGACAAATCCAACCAAGCTCACTCACGAGATTCCGGGAATCTGAATCTGTCCTCTCTGCAACAAATAACACTGCACTGGAGCCCCTCGATAACAAGAAGCCATCTTCATTGTACGCTCATCAATGATACCTTCGTTTGGAAGGCAGAGCACCATCATTCAGGTGGTTAGATACTGATAGCACTATCACCTAATTGTGACCTGTGTAGTAAAGAAGCAAACATCATCGAGCATGGAAATGACAGGAAGGCAAGGGCACTGTCATTTAAGATAAACAACTTAGAAGGACAAGTCCAGCTAAAAAGATGCCACCTTTTGCCTGTAAATCCAAGCAAAAAATCAAGAGTCAACAAAGGACTGTCCTCTCATTACCTCCATTCATACCATTACTTTACCAACATTTCATCAGCTACCAGTATTAATTTATCCGCAAACCGGAAACAGCTGAGAAAGAGAGAATAGAATTGTGTTTCACCTTGGTAACATGAGCTCAGTGCTGACTCAGGAGAATAGTTCTACAATGATTTCTTCATATGCGAGATGAGATTGAATAGTAGTAGTAGTAGTAAAGAATTTTTGCTCATAGACTTGTTTGATTTCAGGTGCTTCAGCGACAAATCCTGGGGAAACTACGACCTACAAAATCTCTTTTTTATTCGGGAGAATGGTGCTACAGTGATCGTGAATGAGATGAGACTGAAGAGTTGCTGAGAAATAAATAGAGGAAAAAAAAAGAATTTTTTTTGCTCTTGGATTCAAACTAGTTCGCTTTCGAGGTGCGTCAGCTACAAACCTTGGAGAAGCAAACAAGGAAGATGACCAAGAAAACAAAGCAGGACAGCCCAATGGCCACCCCAAGCACCAGCTTACTCGGCCCGTGGTGACTCCCGCCGTTGCTCCCTCTGTCTCTACTCCCTTCGTCGCTGCTGTCGTCGGAGTAATCCGACGAGTCCGCCCGAGTGGAGCGGTCCGCGGGTGGCGACACTGGCAGCCCGTACTTGTCGCAGGGAGCGATCCCGAGCTTGAGACTGGAAGAAAGCTGAGTGTGGTTGTAGCAGAGGTTGTTGTTGCCGCCCACCTTGAAGACCTCAAACCGTCGTAGGAAGGACGCGTTGAAGGGGAACACTCCCTGGAAGTTGTTCTTCTCCAAGTTTAGGAGCTTTAGCCCTTTCATCTCGGCTAGGAACTTTGGGATGCTTCCGTTGAACTGATTCGAGCTCAGATCGAGGTGGACGAGTGCTGAAAGCTGCGATATCGAGTCGGGGACTGGGCCGGAGAGCGAATTGCGAGCGAAAGATGCGTTTTTGAGGGCGGCGAGGTCGCCGATGGTGTCGGGGAGGGATCCGGTGAGGGCATTGGAGCTGAGATCGAGGGTCTGGATCAAGCCGAGCACGGAGATGGAGCTCGGGATGCGGCCTTTGAGGAGGTTGGAGGAGAGGTTGAGGTGGACGAGGCCGAGGGCGTTCCAGTGGTGGGGAACGACGCCAGAGAGGTTGGTGGCGGAGATGGTGGCAGAGCGGAGGTGGTGCATCTGGGAGAGGATGACAGCTGGGCCGCTGGCGGAGACGGGGACGCCGACGACGGAGAGGTCAGTTAGGTTCTGAAAGCGGGAGAGCCAGACGCCGGTGAGGTGGCGGAGGGAGGCGTCGCAAGAGAAGGAACGGAGGGAGGCGGTGAGGGGTCCGGGGAGATGCCTGGGAACGGGGATGGGGCAGCGGAGGAAGGCGAGGGAGCGGAGCGTCGAGAGGGCGCGGAGGGCGGTGGTGGGAATGTCGAGGTCCGGGGAGCAGTTGGCGAGGCGGAGGGAGACGAGGTGGCGGAAGGGGGTATCGTCGTCGCAGGCGGTGGCGTTGCCATGGGGGGAGGGGTCGGCGCAGGGGTCGGTGGCTGTGGGGAATCCCATGGACTGGAGCGCCGTGAGCTGCCGGGGGTCGAGGGTGGAGCCTTGAGCGGCGGAGGGAGGACGGGGGGACGCATTCGACGCCGGGGGGGAAGGCGCGGGGGAGGCTTTCGGCGATGGGGACGGAGGGACAGCGGCGGCGCCACCGCCGATCCATGTGTAGAAAGGGAGTAGAGCGAGTAGTATGAGAAGCGCGATTGGGCGACGCTCCATCTGAGATCGGAGCGAAAAGGACGAGAGAGGGTGTGTTGCAGTGGGTTTTCAGTCGTGAGCCGAGGGAGAGGCGGGCTTTAGCAAAGAAAATAAAGAGGCGTTCTTCCAATAAGAAAAAATAGAAATTATATTTGATTCATGTCGGTTAATATCAATCTTAATTTTATAAATAATTAATCTTAATTTTATTTAACGTTAGTAAGCTTATATTATGTGGATGGTCTCAGTGTTTGACCATACGCATGTGTTACGCGTCACGGATGTGACGCGTGGGACCCGCATCTATTTCGCAACGGCAGTCAGTAAAAAGGGTTCCTACAATCTCTACCTGTACGTGTGTGTCGGACTCGTGAGTTTTTGGCGTCGGGCGGAGGCCCGCACCCAACCGATAGAAGACGTCATATCGGATCGACATGGAGAAAGAGAAAATATAGGGGGGCACAAAAACTAAGGAGAGAGAAAGATTTGACTTGTTGCCAATAGAAACCTCTAATTGGTTTCAAAGGATCGAGGAATTGGCTGCAGCTCTTTTGGCAAAATATGACATGTATTTAAATGCCATCCGACACACTAACCACACCTAAAACAAATTGCTCTGGACAATGATAAATAACTTTGGCAGGCAAATTTTCCATTAAGGTTATGGATCCATATCCACCTTCGCTCCCCACTCGGATCTTGTTGGGTTTCCATCCTGGCCCAATATGGGGCTCGCGGATCATGGGCTAGGTGTAAGCGGATCTTGCGAGAAGTTGGACCCGCCATTGCACCGAGTATAAATACTGACCGGTCGAGCGGGCGATCTCACGGCTGTTCCGCGATCGAAGCTAGGGTTGTAGCGAAGGAAAAGGGCGAGAGGAACCATGGCTGCCAAGACTTCGCTCAAAGGGAAAGGGAAGGCCGGGAAGGGGTCCAAGGGTTCGGAGGAGGGGTCGTCGGCGGCCAAGTGCGTGAAGGAGTGGAGCACTTGGGCGATGAAGAAGGCCAAGGTGATCACCCACTACGGCTTCATCCCCCTCATCATCGTCATCGGTATGAACTCCGAGCCCAAACCCCAGCTCTATCAGCTCCTCAGCCCCGTCTAACGTCTCCCCCTCGAACATCGGCAAGTTTTGCATTACGGGTGTACTGCTTGAATTGGTTTTATCTTCACTATCTCTCTGAGACGTGATAATCGATTTAAAGCTTATATGTAGGCTTACCGCATAGTCCATCCGTTTCTACTCATGTGGTATATTGGAGCTTTTGACCTTGATTTGATGGTACAATCTTCTGTGCTTCTCCATTAGGAGATGCGTTTAGTATATGAACTTGTGCTTTCTTTTCAATAAATTGTTGATTCGTAGATCTGGTCCGCCTTGAAGTCTACTGCCCAAAGTTTAACTAGGTTTTGCCTGAACTGCGCTCTTGAAATGCAGAAACGAACCCGTGAATTAGATGACATTTGATCTGCCAATTAGGTAGTTGGTACTTGAGTGCTATCGCATAGAAAGAATCTTAGTATAGTTCAATAAGTTCTTGAGTGTCTTCAAGACTCTAAGTTGCTCAAAAGACGCTCACAACATTTGGATGTGATTGTTAAATAGTATAGGTTATTATTGTGACACATGAGGGGCCATGAGTTGGGTATGATTAAATTTTTGTTTGATGGAGCATGGAGAAGTGATGGAAGGAAGGTCTTAAAATTTCATCTTGGAAGAACTGATGCTGAGTGTGTATACGATCATCTGGTAAATATTTTATTATGAATATGTGCTTGTTTTGCAAATTATAAACTCAAACGTAGATGCATATGTGGATATACAAATGTTGTTGGGTTTTCTTCCTTTCTATGTAGGATATGTCAACCTCTTGGCTTGCATTGGAAATGGTTGAATTGAAGGATCCATCGACGAAATTTTTTGATGATGACATCCTAATCATACTATAATTTTCTTTAGCATCTCTTTCTGGTTAGAAGAAATATTGAATGGAAAAGGAAGAGAAAACTTGTTACTTTAATGTCAGTGAAAAAGTTAAGGCTGTTTTGTTAGAAGTTATGAGGTTCCTTATCAAACCTTTCAAGGAGGCATGCTTAAATGGTATTCCTATCAATCCGAGGATTAGCTGGTCAATTACTAGTGAGAATTTTAGGATTCTAGTGAAGTTCAAGCAAAGCAGATTTGCAAATAAGATTGACATTCTGATCGCTAATGGTTTAGATTTCTAGATTTCAAGAGAAAGTTACCAGATGGGTGCTTGGGAAGTCTACAAGGTCATACGATCTGCGATAATTAAACTGGTAGACCAAAGGTTTTGTTCTTGCCGCAAGCATGAATGTCGCTAAGTGGATATTGTTTTGCCTGAGGCTTGTTAAGGGTTAAGGATTATTCATCTGGCTTATGTTGTGTAAAACAAAACGACTTGACTGCTAGAAAGGCCTTTTGTGGATTTCTTGGCCTCCTTTATCTGACTGTATTGAGTAGTTTTGTTTTCAGGCCATTCTTGCATGTTCACGTTATTGGTTGGTGGTGTGTTCTGTTGGGAGTGGGATCATATAAAAGAGCTACCAGTTCTAGAATACAAATTTCTTTGGGCATCATTCCTTGTATCTTTTGGGTCATCGATTTTTAGGATCAGATGATAATATTTGATATTAAGAGAAGAGCAGGAAATATTGATAGGCATGCATAGTTTTGGCGTTGAGATTCCAAGAAGTTTACTGTTATGTTATCTTATCCCTCCTGACAAATCTACCAATAATGTTGGATGTTGACTCGGTTCATGTGTGAAAAAAGAAATTAGGCTTCTGGACATTGACAGATTTGGATTTCAGGATCGATTTTTCTGTATCGTGGGTGTTGTTGACTTCTGATGCTTTTTTGCAATATCTTTTAATGGTGTGTTGATGACACACTCCACGCTGTTGTCCGAAGAAGAAGAAGAAGAAGAAGAAGCAACTCCATGGAGAAGGGAAAAGCCAATCGCTGGAAGGCGGAGGACACGGTCGAGGGGCCGTTCAAGATGGAAACGATCGGCCGCTCAGCGGTGGTCTGGCGAAAGGGGACGTGTACTCGCTCGGTTGGTTCCGCTGACCCCTGTGAGAATACGGCAGCAGAGAATAAGCAATGCGGGGCTCAAAAAAAAATTTCGGCGGCATTTCATTGGCTGACTTATATGTGGTAAGCTCACGGGGATAATATGCGGACGTCGACACTTCGTATGACGGATTAAAAAAAATTATAGTAGTATATAATTTTTTTGGAAAAGGAAAATATCAGGGGGTTGAATGAACTGAAGGTATCATCCGCGTTACAGAAAGAAAGAAGAGAGACCAGATGTTCTTCCATGGCGAGGGAATACAAGTGAGGTAGGAAATCTTAAGAGATTGCATCAAAGATTTGATATCCAAGATGATTCCCCAAGGAATCTTCTGAGAACCGTTCACATAATGAATTAGTAGCATACGATTTAGCCGTGGCGTAAGAATGGATTTTGTCTATTTCATTTCGTCTAATATTTTACTTAGGATTTAATTCGCTTTAAATAATCAATACGAAAAAGAAAATGCTGCACACCCTCACCAATTAGTGGATGCTTCGATTATATTTGATAATCTTCGTTGAAGGCGATGGTGGTAAGCCACACGCTTCCCATTCGACAACCAGGAAGGAAAACAAGGAAGAAAGAAGGTTTTGAACCATTAACCTGAGGCAAGTCTTTGATCTGCTGGTCACAAATCCTTGGTGATTGATCTGATAGGCGGGTCTGTGGAAAGTGATCGCTGGTGAAGCCTCAAAAATAAATATTTGATTGGTGTAACAAAAAATGCACGTAAGCCATCAATGATATTCTTATAATTATGAAAATGAAATAATTAACTTTATTTATCCTAATATCGTTGATTTTATCAACCGAAGCATAAAAATGATATGTAAAAAAATAATTTCAACGTTTCAATTATGTTTTTTATAGTGGTGGATGATGATACCACTGGGGGCCACGGGTAGTTGTTGTGGATGAGAAAAAAGAACAATGACGACGAGAGATGAAACAAAAAGAGATGAGTAAGAAAACGACATAGATGTTAACGCTCTACATATGTATCGACATTACTTGATAATTGTATTGCAACATCGACATAGATGCAGAACGATGTCGCTCTACATCTTTGTCAACGTCCAACAATCCTTTTGTCGTTTGCATCTACATTAACATCGCTCAAATGCAAAGCGGCATTAGCATTGACATCAGTGTCGATGCAGATACAAAGCGACGCCACTCTTTCTTGCATTGTTGTTAATGCCAACGCAAATATAGAGTGACACCACTCTGTATATATATCTATGTCAATGCAGATACCAAGTGATCCTAACGCCGATGCAAATACCGAGCGATCCTTTTGGCGCTCTATATTTGTATTGGTGCCAACACAATTATCGAGCATCGACATATGCGTCATCCTCTTTCTTCTTTCCCTTTGCCTCACCTCTCACTGTTATTCTCCCTCTTCGTTCACAACAACCACTCACGACCCCCAACAACATCACTATCTACCACTATCGAAAACGTAATTGAGACATTACAATTATTATTTTGCTCATCATTTTCATACTTCCATCGGTAAAATCAAGAATAAATAAAATTAGATATTTCACTTTAATAACTATAGATATTTTAATATAATTTTTTTAACTCCAGAAATTAAGATACTAAACAAATCTAACTATAAAGAATAATATATAAGTAACCCCTCTTTGTACCATCACATTCACATGCTGCTCCAGCTGTGAACAACTCTCGCTTGTTATCCGCAAGTAGCATAGCAATTCTAAGTCGAGGAATCTTCAGCCAGGCCGACATGTTAACAGTCATAAGATCTCTCTCTCTCTCTCTCTCTCTCTCTCTCTGCATATATATATGTCCACATGAAAACCACCACCTGTTCCAATAGGTTTCGCAAACACCAAATGCCCCAATTCACCAGAACTTGTTAAGGATGACATGCAGGAAATAAGACCGCGAATGGCTACACTGGTCACAGGAATAAGCTGTATACATCTAAATGTTACATTGGGT